TACATATGCTACATTTCTTATTCAGTAGCCAAACAATCCTAACTTCTATGTGAATAGTATTCCCTTTTATCACATGGAATGATCCCTATCCACATGCCTCTCAAATCAGGTTGGGTTGTGTTTACAAGTTTCCTCTGAAATGCCATTGAAATCGTAAATGGAAATTTATTATTAAGTTAAGCCTAAGAGCTCATGACAGGGGCTCCGAACATCATTCTTCAAGATATTAGCTGAATCCAGCTTTACATTATTGTCACATGCTTTTCTGAAGTATTTTCAAGAATGAAAAGATAGGGAACATTCTTTCCTGCCCTGGAAATAAGAAAGGATTCTGTATAACAAAAGCCTAATATGCTAAGTGTCCGGTTGTCCAGTGACCAGTCGACTGTTCAACCAATCAAAGCATAATATGCTAATGATATGCTAAGGCCGCTCAACCCTCACTAGATGTGCACTGACCACCAAGGGGCAGACAGCCGACTGGTGGATCAGTCGCTATGATGTGCACTGACCACCAGGGGGCAGACGCTCCAACCAGTAGGTTAGCTGCTGCTGGAGTCCAATCGATTGGGACTGAGTGAGATGGGCTGGACACACCCTGGAGCCTTCCAGCGGGCTCTCCTTGGCTGGCCAACCTGCCGAGTCCCTCCTTGGCCCCATCATGCAACCGTGGGGTCCCTTGGCCTGGCCTGCGCCCTCTTGCAATTCCGGACCCCTCGGGGGATGTCGGAGAGCCAGTTTCAGCCCAATCCCGCAGGCCACTCCCCTCAGGAAGGCACAAGATGCAGGGCTCACCCAGAGGGGCCCCACCCATGCACGAATTCGTGCACCATGCCTCTAGTTTTAAAATAAAGGAAAATGGGCCTGGCCAGTGTGGCTCCACTGAAAGGTCACCAGGTCAGTTCCATTCTGGTCGGGGAGGCAACTAGTCAATGTCTCTCTCTCCCTTTCCCTTCCTCTCGCTCTAAAATCAATAAAAACATATTTTTAAAAAATAAATAAAGGGAAATAGAATGCAAATCTGGTGGGTGGGTTTCTCAGTGTCTGAAACCGTAGATCAAATGGATCAGCACCTACAAATATGTTCTTTTAATGGCTCCCTGGCAATCCTATGGTAAAGCTTGGGTCAAACAGCCCCGCGGAGGTGGGCAAAACGGAGGGGAGGGAGAGAGGGAGCAGGAGAGGCACCCCCACAGAGAGCACACCTGCACTGCCCGCCAGGCTCCTGGCAAGATGGCTTCCCACTTACGGAGAAGAGGTCCGTGCCCATGGGACTGTTTAAAAAGTGACCTGACAGACTCAGAGGGTGTCACCTCCCTCCCACCCTCCTGGAAACACTAGGAAGGCAGCGGGGCCCTGGTTTGGATGGACCAGGGATGTGGGCTTTGGTGCTGGGATGAGAAAGCCTTGGGGCAACTGGGAAATTAGCTAAACAGTCAACTTTTCTGTATTTGCTCATTTCCATGTCATGTGTGTGCGGAAAGCAGAACAGCCTGTCGAACCTGGGGCTGCACCCCGACTGGTGCTCCAGCTTCTCTGGGTTGCCCCAGAACCCCTGGACAAGGGCCAGGGTCCGCCTCAGTCTGTCGTAGAGCCAGGATGGCCACGCAGAGTCCACCCCGCCCTGGTGTCTGAGAGGCTGGCCAAGCAGACAGCCACGGGCACCCTGGGCGCCCCTTGGGCCTGTCCCTGCCCAGCTGAGTAGGGTGCTCACACCTGGCAGTGGCTCCTAGTGGTGGAGGTGAGAAAAGAGGGGGGCACGCAAGTAGTGGGCGTGCCAACAAGAAGGGTGACCGTGGTGGCATCTTGGGGACTGGACCTGCCACTTGCAGGCTCCCAGGCACTGGCTAACACAGTAAGGTGCTCGCCCTGGTTTCCTTCTATAGGAGACAGCCAGACAGGGCACTCCCCAAAGTGGATGGGAGTTCTGGCTGCTGGGCCGGCCCCCTCCGCCCCAGACGGACCACAGCCTGGCCTGCCGCCCCTGTCCCGACTCCCATGTTTGCCTAGAGGGGGCGCTGCGGAGGACTTGAGATGGAGGTGAGGCTGCAGCGGCCTCCCCACCACCCGGTGCTGGATTGGTAAAGACACCCCCCCCCCCCCCCCGCCACGACCCCCCTGACGTTCCAGGTTCTGGTGACCCTGCAGGTGGGCCCACAGCAAGCCGCCTGGTGCTCCAATGGCCCAGCGCTGGGCCAGGGCAGTCCCCCACCCCCACCCCCGCCTTGTGTCCAACCGGGTGTCCCCAAACCTAAGGCAGCCCCCAGCTTCTCAGAGGCTGGCTCTCCTGTCTTGGGAGGGGGGGGGGATTACCTATGCTCCTCCGGAGTTGTGTGATGCCCCCCCACCCACCCACCCAGGACTGGGATGGCACAGGAACCACCCACCGCTGGCGAGCCTGGCACTACACTCTCACACGCGCGCGCGCGCACACACACACACACACACACACACACACACACGAACGCGCACCGGCGCAGGCCGTTGCTAAGGAGAGGCGGGTTACCAACGAGGCTGAGGGCGGCCTCCCTCCCTGCTTCCTCCCTCCGCCTTCCTCCCTCTTCGCCCTGCGGGGGGCTCCCGGGTCCCTCCCCCTCTGCGCCCCCTGCCTGCCGCCACTACCCCCTCCTCCTTCCCCACCCAGGGAACTCCAGGGCGAGGAGGGTGGCAGGGAGGGGCAGGAACCACTGCCCCTCGAGTCTTTGCCCGAGGAGGTCCCTCAGAGGGTGGCCCCGGAGGCAGCGCTGGCGTGGGCACCGGGTGGGAATCGGGACCCTCTGGAGAGGCTCAGCCCGCGGGCGGAGGGGAGACCGCGGCGCCGCGCCCTGGGGAAGGTTTGCAGGGTCGACAGGCCCTGTCCTGGTGCAGGGCGCAGGGAGCCGGGTGCCTTCCTGTCTCCCACCTCCTGGGTGTGGGGGCGGGTGCTCTAGGGGTGAGGACCCCAGGGAAGCCGCAGTCTCCCACTTGGACCTCCCCCGACCCTTCTCCCCTCGCGCTTCTCAAAGCCGAGCAAAGCGACCAGCAGGCCTCGTGCCCCGCGAGCTCCGGCCCACCAGGTCCAGGAGCTGGGCTCGGAGGCCTGACCCCGTCCGCACCAACTAGAAGTGGACCTCGGCCTAGGTCTTGGCGAGGAAGCCAGTCCTCGGGGCGCCGTGGACTCGGCGAGCACTTTGCAGGCACTCTCACGCCTCCGTGGGCGACCTGCCCCCCTGACCCCCACCCTCCACCCCCACCCCAGCCCGAACCGGAGTTTCAGGGCCTCAGCTTCCAGAAGGGACGCTGCGGCGAGGCCTCGCTCAGGGCAGGTCCGGGGCAGAGGCGAGTGGGAGGGAGGGGGAAGGGCAGCGGGGCAAACTCCACCCAGCCCGGCTGGCGGGGCGGGGACGCGGGGAGGGGGGGGGCGGGGGGGGAGGGGGGAACTTGAGGTTTGCCCTGGAGGGGCCGAGCAGGCAGGACCGCCGCGGGTGGGGCCGGAGGGGCGTCAGGTTAGGAGGGGCCCCTGCCTCCAGCTGCCCCGAGCGCGGGAACAATGGGGAGGCGGTGGGAAGGGGGGCTGGGGGAGGGCGCCAGGGTTTCCAGAGCAGGAGGAACCAAAGAGCCCTCCGCAGACTGTCATCTGCATGTGATAAGGCCCCCACCCTCCTTTCTTCCCCTGTTCCTGCAGCCGTGGGCCGCGGAGGGCGCATTGTGCGCACAGATGTTGGGTTTCAGCTCTCCACTCTTCACTGCTCGGCGGGGGTGCCGCGCACCAGGGGTGCCCGAACCTACGGCTGCAACCCGGGCTCTAGGGTTTAGGGAGGGAGAGTGGGGTCAAGGACGGGGGGGTGGGGGGCGCCCTCAGGGCCTACAGACCGCGGGACACCCAGCGCGGGTCGACCTGCCAGGCCGTCCCCAGACTCTGGCTCGGCCTTGAGCCCCGCCCGAAGGGCTCTCGGCCGGGCCGCGCGGGGCGCAGGGAGCTCGCGGGGGTTCGAGAGACGAAGAGCGCGGCCCCATCCCCCATTCTGTTCCTCCGTCCGCGGGGCCTGTGGCCCGTGGAGGCGAGGACACAGCTCCATCCTCCGTTTTCACCGTGCCCTGTCCGGCGTTTGGGGCTGTGCGCCTCAGTGCGCCTGGCCCGCATGGCGGTGAGGCCCTCGGTGGCTCCCGCGACGGGCGCTCTGTGCGCACAAGTGAGACTTGAAAACTTGAGTGGATTCATGGCGGGTCGGGGGCACCGGGGGCGTGTGCGCTGCGTCCTGGCTGCTGCCCTTGGGAAGCGGAGCAAAGGGCTGCCGCGGCCGAGTGGGGACCCAACTCGAAAGGGCGGTTTGCGGGGGGCTTTTCTCTGGCAAAGGGTTGCGACCCCCCCCCCCCCCCCGCAGAGGAACCACAGCAGGGCGCGCGGGGTGATGCCTCTCGCCCAGGCCCCTCTCCCCTTGGCGCCACCCTGAACTTGCCCAGAATGAAAGGGAGAAAGGATGGAAAGAAAGAAAAGGCGAAGGCCCCAAGCTGTACAAATGACTGACACGGCCCATGTCCATTCATAGTCTCGGGCGGGAGAGGGTGTACGGAGAGCCACGGCCCCTTAGCCAATTGCTGTCAGCAACACGTGGGGGGGGGGGGGATCTCTATAGCAACCGGTGGCTGGGCCGCGAGCCGCGCCGCCGTCGGCCGGGTGCGCGCCGGGCAGGATATAAGGCGGGGCGCGGCGGCGGCCACGCTGGAGGGAGCAGCGCGCGGCCCGTGGCCCTGAGGGGACCGTCCCGCGCCCAGACCTGCGTCGGTCCTTACCGCGCCCCCGCCCCCGCCCCCGCTCCCCACCCCGCGGCGAGGCCTGGGCGGAGCGCGCCGAGCTACGAGCCGTGTGGAGCAGCCGGCGCCCGCGGCCCGGAGCCGCCGCCGCCACCGCCGCTGCCGGAGCCTCCGCGCGCGGCACCTTTGTCTCGCCAGCCTCCCCAGAAGTTTGTGGTCAGAGGCAGGACGGCTCCGCGCCCCTCTGGCTCCAGTGCAGGGTCTGAGCTGGCCTTGGCGATGGCACTGCCGCCTCCCGCGGCCACCGCGCCCCCGAGGCCGCTCGGCCTGGAGCACACCCCACCCTCCTCCGGCCTGGGCGCCGGGCACCGGCCCCGCTGCAGGTAACCAGGAGCGCCCAGCCCAGGCGCGGGGCACGAGTGGGCTGTAGAGAGAAAGGAGAGGAGCTGGGGTAGTCGAGGGAGGGAGGGAGGGAGCAGGTGAGACCCACAGAGGGCATCGCCGGGCTCAGAGGCTGCTGGGCGAAGAAAGGGAGCCTGGGAAGGTAGAGGGTGCCCATGGGGGCGGGGGGGGGGGGGCTTGGGTGGGCAGCCTGGGCGTCAGAGCCCAGTTCAGGGCTGACTCCCACTCGCAGCAGGTTGCCTGTCAGTGGCTCTGGCTAGCAGGGGCGGAAGGTCTGCGTCGGAGGTCATTCCACTCCTGGGTCTGGGTGGGCATGCAAGGTGGTCCCGTGGGTGGCACCGCTTATTGGGCGCAAAGGTTGAGAGGGATGAGAGCTGCTCCAGCCCCAGCGCCCCCGGGGAGACAGCTGGATTAGGCTGAGGACGATGTGTCTCCCCCCCCCCCACGCCACACACACACACACACACACACACACACACACACACACACTTCTCTTTCCTCAGCCACTGGGGCACTTCAGGCCGTCAGGGGAGAGGGCGAGGGGTGCGGTGAGGAGGAAGAAGGGGAGGCGAGGATGGGGTGCGCAGCCAAGATCGAAAGGAGCCTCCTGCAGGCATTGCCCCCATACCATTTTGGGGTGCTCTTTGCCCTCCTGTCTCGGCTGGGCTGTGCCTGGTGCCCTGGGGTCCCAGTTGGAGGGCACCGGGCGGACGCGCAGGAAGAGCGCCAGGTGCAGTGGGGTGGAGAGTGACTGCTGGGCCCGAGCCCCCAGCTGCTCGAGAGATGCCTGGGAGCCTCCCCGCCCCACACAGAACCAAGCGAGGGGCGCGAGCTAGAAAGAGAAACTTCTGGCTGGAGCTGAGCTTTTGAAGGAGGGGCCGCTTCCTTCCCTTCGTCCCGGCGGCTCTGCCTTGGCCCGCGGACCCAGCATCCGGCGGAATCCCGGGCAGAGTGGGCTTTTAGAGCCGGAGAGAGTCTCCCGCCTTTTTCGGTCATCGGTCATCAGAGCGCGGAGCTGACGGCCTCCAGGCTGGACGCTGGTGGAGGGGGCGGGGGGCTGTCACCGTCGCCAGTGCCCACTCACACACCCCACGCAGCCCAGAGGGCGAGGAGGACTCCGCTCCCTCCGGGGCCTCGCTCCAGCCGCTGCCCCCGGTCCTCTCACTCGCGCTCCCGTCGCTAAGTCCGCAGACAGCGGTCCCTACGCGCTGGGGCGCCTCGTCCCGCCTGGGTCAAGGGCAGAGCTGCCCACGCGGCCTTAGCCGAGCCAACCTTCCCTGAATTCAGACTCGAGCTGGGAGGTGACGGGTGTGCGCAGCGGGAGCTTTATCCACACGGAGGACGCGCCCCGCCCGGCTCCGCGCGCCGCTCGGCTCTGGAGAAGGGACGGCCCCGCTGGGGTCGCGCACCGGGAGCCGCGCCGCCGAGTGTGCAGCTGCGGGCGGCCTGGGGAACGCGGCGTGTTGGGGGCGTGGGCCCGCGCTCTGGGCCGGCTGCTTCGTGGTGGGGAGGCCCGGCTGGGCTTGGTCCCGCGGGGAGGGAGCTGGGGCCTCGGAACCCCTCCCTGCCGTGAATACCCAGCTCCCAGGCACCTTCGCCCCTGATGCGAGCGCCGGCTGCCCCTCCGACCTCAGTGGGACCCTGACTAAGCCCTGGGCGGGACTGGGAGGCCCGGGAGCCGGCGCCGGGCCGGGGGCGCGGTGGGAGCCTAAAGGCCCTGCGCTCCCGGGCAGCCCCCTCCCCCCGCGCCCCCCGTCCCAGCGGCGCCCGGCGGGGACGCAGGCCCGCGAATCTTTAGGACCCGTGGTAGCCTCGGCAAGACCGGAATAGAAACCCCAAACCCGGGCAGCTTCGGCGGCTGCGAGGGGACTCCTCCTCCGAGACCAGGGGTGCCTGGGAGGCGCGTGTGTGCTGGGGCGCAGGCCTCGCAGCCAAGACGCGGCCCTAAGCGGGCGCCGGGCGCAGAGGGCGGTCTTCTCGGGGTCCCTCCACTTCGGGCTCTTCTCCGCGCGGCGCGGCGCCGGGCGGCTCCCGGAGCCCATCTGATGTTTGTTCAGCTCCACTGAAAGCTGTTCACGCGAGGGAGTTCCCCTTTCACACGGAAATACCTGACATCTCCCCGACATCTTAAGGCAGAGCGATTCCCCACACGGGTGTGGGGCTGCTTCCAGGCGGCAAACAGGCCACGCACCATCTTTTGTATGTTTACCTTTATGCCTGTGCCTGCGCCTGGGGACCCTCCATACGTAGCCTGTTAAACAGTGCGTCCCACCTATTTCATTAAAGTTTGTTTGTAAGAATAATGATTCCTTGGAGTCTTTTCTTTGACCCAGATAGGCTTTTTCTTTTTGATACTTGAATGGCAGATTAGCAAGTACAATTTCATCTGCAGGGAACAATAGCTTTCAGTGGCACAAAGGGTTTCTCCCACCCTGACTTCAGCCGCAGTGCCTCTTGCTGATAATAGCTTCTGGAAAGATTCTGTAATGCAAAGAATTAATACATGATTATTTCTGCCTCGCTTCTCTCATTTATTAGAATTCTGTGGCAAATTCCAAATTAAAAATAGTTCCGTTAGCAGCTTTAAAAATGCTTTTAAAATATTTTAAGACAACCCCCTCCCATATTTTTAAGTTGGTCATCCCCATGGATTGATAACTGTTAAAAAAATTTTTATTAGCTTTAACGTAATAGTTACTACATTTTAGTAAATGTGTTTTTGTAAATTTACCATGAAATTTCCAAATAATTCTAAGATGATTCATCTGGGAAACCAAAAACAGATTTGTTATAGCAACTCATGAGCAGCATCTAAACTAATGTCTAAATTTTTCAAGGGCAATGGGCTTCGAGTTATAGAAAAGTGAGAATGCAGAGGAACACTGCTGGGTTTGCAAAGCAGATTCCTTAGGAATGCAGCCAAAGGAACATCCTGTATTAGAAGTTTAATGTTCAGGAAATTGAATGCCTGTGTCCATATGTTTTTATACAAGTGTGTTTCAGAACTTAAGTCAGTTACTTAGATATAAACTGCTGTTAGCTGGTTACATGCACAGCCTTGGGGAAATGCTACATTTTGCTACCTGTTACCATAAAGTTTCCTATTTATGTGGCTCCCTCAGTTCTCACAGCCAAGTTTGGATATAGAATGTTCTTTTTTTGTCTCACTTTTCTTTTAAACTTACCACATGGACAGCTAAAGCTATTTTTTGAAGATATTTTGCCATAAATTGCTCAGAAGATAACGTATGGGAAGCTCGCGTACCTTCGCCTCTAAGCACAAATCAGAATAGTTTAACTAGGCCAGGGCGGTAGCTGTGGGTGCTGGTCTTTAAGAGCAACTGCTCAGATTGTCTCTCCGGCCGCGTCTGTTGAATCGCAGCTTTTGTAACACTTTATATTCTAAATTCAGGAGCTGTGGGGAGACGGTCAAGTGGAAGAAGTAAGCAGATTGTCCCTCTAACCTGATGTAAAGCTGACTTAATTGTTCCTGATTCCTTTAGATGAGCCACTTCCCCTGCATCTGAACATTTAGCAGTAGTGCCTGTCTGTCTCCTCCACCCAGGGGCCCGCAGACCCGTGCTCCCTCTGGCCAGGCCTTTCTCCTCAGGCCTTGCTTCTTCCTCCTGACCTCCAAACTCCCAGCGAAGCCAGCTGCCTCTGCACAGGAGCTGTTCCACTTTTAAAAGACGCCTGACTGTAAATGTCAAAGTCATAAATATTTAAACATTATTTTCTTTCAATTTCAAGTCAAGACTGGCAAGATGCCTCTAATTAGTTGTGGGCGCTCTGCAGGGCTCGGTGCGGGCGAGATTGCAGGGAGCACCTGCCGTTCAAGTAGCTCAGCCTTGGGGAGCAGGGGCCCATGAGGGGGCCTGGGCCCCCCACGTCACACCCGGACAGGAGTGTGGACCAATCTCAGTGAAGCTGTTAGCAAACTAATTTCTTTCTCCTCAAGCTCCTGGTTAGTAGGAGTTTGAAGTGGTTGGGTTTTTTTAACTCCACGAAAAGAAATAAATAATCGTAAAGTTATTGAAACTCAATCACTATGCCTAGGAGGGGAGCTCACACTCTTTAATTTAAAAAAAAGAATTTCTGTGAATGTTTATTCCTTCCGTGATTCTTCAGACCTGACTTGCAATACTTCCGCCTCCTGGCCCTGGGCGCAGCACTAGGTAGGACGTTGGAGCCATTGGGGGAACCCAGGGTAACTTTTTGGGTTCCCCCTGAGTTGTCTGCCGACCACCCAGTGCAGCAGAAGGTTCCCGGCCAGGCCCAGTGGAACCCGCAGACCCCTCCTGTCCCTCCCGGCGGTGCCCACTGTCACCAGCTGGTCCCCTGTGCAGACTACCAGCCCACCAGAGACCCAGTGTCCGAAGTCTGCGGCCTAGCCACCCCGCCCCTGGTGCAGGAGGGGCTCTCTGCTGGTGGGCTGCTGTAGGCAAGGGGGGCTCCCGCCCCGCCAAGGGACCATTGTCACCCTTTCTCTTCCGGACAGCTCAGGCGCAGGCAGCGGGAGCCGGGAGACCATAGAGAAAGGACTCCAGGGCCGGCATCTCGCCCCTTCCCGCCGCCCTCCCTTCTCCTCCCCCCACTTCTCCTTCCCCCCTTCTCCCGCCAACCCCCAGCCCTTCCCCTCCCCCCTCCCTTCTCCTCTGAGCCACTCGGCGGCTGCAGGGCGAGGGCAGCGGGGAGGGGGAGGGCGGCGGGAGGGCCTGGGCGCCTGGGCAGTGGCTCTACTTGACATTTTTCCTTGACCTCTGAGTCAATTCCAGGCGCTGCGGAGGGGCGGCGGCTGGCGCGGTAAGCTCCCCGCTCGCCCAGCGCTGCGGGCGCGGTGCCTGCGGTTTCCCACGACCAGGACCCGCCGCAGGGACCGGCGCTCACGGCGGCTCAGCGGGGCTGAGGGCAGGGGACAGCCTGTGCCCGCGCACGGGGAGCGGCCGCTTGGTCCCCGCGTGGGCCACCGCGGCCGGTGCACAGCGAGGCGTCCGCCCCACACCTGATGCCGCGCGTCCCGTCCCCTCGGAGACGCAGTGCACCGCGCTCCTGGGCCCTCGCGTCGCGGGGCGCGAAGGTTCGGGGAGTCCTGGTTCCAGGCGCAGCCGGCGGTTCGGCGCGCGGGTCCTCCGACGCCTGGGCGGGACCCCAGGTGGCACCGCGGGGACCCCCGTCGCCTGCGCAGGGACGCGGTGGGTGGGGAGCATCCGGACCCCGGCGCCGGCCATGCGCCTCCTTTGTTGTGATTCGGCTCCGGCTGCCCAGGCCCGTCCCACTGGGGCTGGGAGGGTGGGAGCCGCCCCGCAGGTGTCCTTGGGGCCTTCCTCTTGGGGGCGACAAGCTCCCCCCCAGCCCCGAGCCGCGTCCTCACCCCGACCTGCCCCCGCCCAAGGCCAGACCCCGCCATCCCCGCCGGTCGCCCCGGGCGCCAGTGACCCGGCAGGTGCGCCTTCAACCCGCCGCCCGCGGGCCACGACCCCCTGGTGCCGGCTGCGCCCCGCAAGGAGTGGGGGCCGGCGCGGGTGGGGCCGGGTCTCCTGCTCCCTCCTCACGAGGCGGCTGCTGGACCCGCTGCACGGCCCCCTCCTGCCTCCCGCCCCGGGAGCCTCCGTTCTCCCGCCGCTTCCAGGCGAGAGTCCGGCGCCTCTTCCCGTTTCACCCGCCTTTTCATGGACGCGTCCCAGCCTGGCTGGTCCTCCGCGAAGGCCACGGGGCTCACGAAAGAGCAGCCCCTCCAGCCGCGCGGGCGCAGGATGGACGGCCCGACCTGGAGGCCCGCGTCCGAGCCGGAGCCGGAGCGCGGCGCTGGGCCGGACCAGGCCCACTCGGGGAGGACCCGGAACCGGCGCCGGCTCCTGGGGGGCGATGCGCTTGGTGCCCCAGGAGGGAGGGTGGCTGACCGTCACCGCGCGGCTCCGGGAGGGGCGCCAGGCGGGTCTGCTTGAGGACCAGCGGAATGTACCGCAAGGGCCCCCGCCCCCCAGGAACAGTGAGCGCCGCTGGCCTTCCGCTCCTAACTTTTCACGCCGCCAGAGGAGCTCCTGGCCACGGTCCCCAAAGGCCCGCGGAGTCCAGTGTGTGGACGACACCAGGGAGGGCGCCTGGAGGCCGGCGGCCCGGGCAGGACACCCAGCACAGCCCAGGAACCTCAGGCCAGGCGACTGCTGCAGGCGCTGCCCCCCGCTGGGGGGCCGGGGGCGGGCCCCCATTGTCCTTCCACCCACAAGCGGGATGCACTCTGGGAGGCTGTATCCCCCACCCACCTGTTCAAAAGAAGGGGCGTCCTGATTTTACTCAAGGCACCAAACACTGTTTTGTTAAATCTGAGAAGTGGCCGCCCTGATGGAGCAAGACCCTGCCTCTGGCTTCCCCTCAAGCACACTGCAGCCCTGAGGGGTGCCTGCTGCCGCTGACACTGGCCGCTCATGGAAAGGGAGGTGTTTGGGGGCCGCTTCCTTGGGGACTGACAGCCCTCTCTCTTGTTCACAGAAAAGCAAGCTCAAGCTCCCACCGCGCCCCGCGGAGCAGGAGGACTCAGCCAAGTTCCTGGTGCTCACGCTGCTGTCCATTGCTGCCATCCTGGGCATCTTGCTGGCCTCGGGAGTCATCTACTGCCTGCGCCACGACTCTCACCACCGGCTCAGGGAGAAGCTCCGGGGCCTGGCGGGCGACCCAGGCCCTGACGCCACTGCAGCCTACCAGGTAAGGGCCTCCTGCCCAGCGCTGCCCCCTCTGTGAACAGACAGGTCACACATAAGGCCTCGCTCCCCCCACCCCACCCCCAGCAGTTCTCGTTCCTAGGCGCCTTTCTGAGGGCAGTTTGACACTCCCTGGCGTCCTGGTAAATACCTCGGAACCTCGGCTGCCCTGCTCTGTTACAGATAGTCTCGCATTAGCCAGGAAAGCGGGTTGCTCGTTAGAAACGCGGGAAAAGCACAGTACAGGAGACATGGCTCATCCGGTCCTGTTCTCCATTTGGCCACTGTTAATGAGAAATGTCAGATTGCAAGAGAGATCGGTTTTGTGGGTGTTTGAAGATGTCCCCACGTCACGGACTTCCTGGGTGTTTGTATGAAAAGATCCTCGACCTGTTCGGTCGGCCTGTTCCATCATCCTGCTCTGATTTGGATAAAGTGGAATCTAATGCTGAAAATGGCAAGTAAACGACGCTGTCTCCATGGGGACCGTCTGCAGCTGTGTGCTGGGGGTGCGAACACGTAGGGACGCAGGGAGGACGCCAGGAAGGCAGGTGCAGACCGAACTGGACCTGCACAAGTTCACAGACATTCCAGAAACCGTATCGTGTCCACACCCACTTAGCCACCTCCTGGAGGAGCTGAGCCTCCCGGCTGAGCAGCAGTGCAAGCCCCGAATATAGGCAGGTCAGGGCACCTGATTTCTTTTCACATAAAATACCATTTCACTCCACGCATATTCCCCACTCGGGAAAGTAATTTTCCTAGTCATCATTGGGAAAGTCTAATCGGGGTACACTTGGCAAAGATTTTCTCCCGTTGGACTAGCCTGTGTTTTCTCTAATCACATGACGATGACGTGTAATGTGCCTTATAAGTGACACGACCTACTTAGAACCCTGTGTGTTAGTTATTATTCTCCTATCATCAGAGTTACATGGGAAAACGCTCCCAACCCCTGTCTGTCAAGGCCCTCTGAGCCCTCTGAGTGCCTGGCCCTCCCAGGACAGTGGCTGAAGTCATGAAATCTCTAGGCTGGCGGGGCCAGGAGGGGCTGTTTCCATTTCCAGACTCTTGGTGCTGTCTTTGAGTGGAGAGCCCGCTGCGTTTCTGGAGGGGCCACAAGCCTGGCCATCTCGGTCTTACAAAGAAATAGTGACGCGGATGTGTGGGTGGGCGCCTCCGTTGCCCATGCAGCTCTGCTTGAAAGCAAAAGAAAAATCACGTTTGAAGGAGCCTGGCAAAGAGGCCACAGCAGCTCCGAGCCTTTACCCGGAGAACGAGTGGAGGCACAGCTCCCTGGAGGACATGGCTCAGGGCCTCCTGTGCTCGGACATAAATAAATGATCAGACGGCGCTCTTCCGCAGGAGAGCCCCGCGTCCTTTGATACACTTTGAAATTCAAATATAAAGCATTGATAGAACAGAAAGCTTGGACTCGCATGCAGAAAAGGCTAATTTTGACCAAAATGCAGGTTGAAAATGCATACTTAGAACTGAATTTGTGATAATTAAAAAAAAAATTGTCCCAGTGACAGCCCTAATTAATAGTATCTGTGATTAAAATCAGGCCCTTCCAGCAGGAAAAGTGTTTGAATTTCTCGGAGCGACCTTTCCGCTCTTCTCGGGGGCAGGGTGGTTAGGTTGATATTGATTCTATAATGAGCCTGGTTTGCTTAATAAGAACAGACAATAAATGAAACATGTGCATTTCTTCAATCCAGAATAACAAAAAGAAAACAATTTTTTCCTTTAGAAATGCAATCTAGGAAAATTTAGAGATGAAGTTATGGTGAAGACGTTTCTGGTGGCTGAGGGTTGAAATCGCTACAAAATCCCTGCCAGGGAAGCACCGTGATAGAACATGGAGGTTCGCCCGCGACGCGGTCCGTGTACTGGAGAAAAGGCCAGGGTGGAGCTGTGGTGCTGTTCGGTTGTCTGGCAGAGCAGGATCTGCAAATGAGACTACGGATTTCATGATTTCGGCTCTAGACTTAGCCGAGTCATGTGTTAAGGACTCACATGGTGTACAGTCAACCCCAAACAACACAGGAGGGGCACCATGCTGTAAAAAACCCACATGTAACTTTTGACTCACTGAAACCTCAGTCTTCCCTCAGTACCCACGGGGGATTGGTTCCAGCCCCCCCCCCCACCCCCCCGCAACACCAATATCCACAAATGCTCAAGTCCTTTATATAAAACTAGAGGCCCAGTGCTTGTGCACTGGTGGGGGAGTCCCTAAGCCTGGCCTGCAGTCCGGGAGCCCTCAAGGGATATCCGACTGACAGCTTAGGCCCGCTCCCCAGAGCAGGCAGTCGGACATCCTTAGCTCTGCCACGGAGGCGGGAGAGGCTCCCACCACTGCCACTGTGCTCGCCAGGCATGAGCCTGGCTTCTGGCTGAGCAGCGCTCCCCCTGTGGGAGTGCAGTGACCACCAGGGGGCAGCTCCTGTGTTGAGCATCTACCCTCTAGTGGTCAATGCACATCATAGCGACTGGTCGTTCAACCGTTCGGTCAATTTGCATATTAGCCTTTTATTATATACTAGAGGCCAGTTGCAGGAGGATTCCTGCAAGAATAGGGCTTCACTCCCGTCTCTGCGGCTCCTACCCGACCCGTCTCTGTGACTCCTACCCCGCCTGTCTCTGCCGCTTCTCTCCCACTCAGCTCCGTTGCTTGGCTTCCTTCTATGGTGTCTTCAGTCTTCGCTCCCAGCCGGCATATGCAAATTAGCCGCCATCTTTGTTGGCAGTTAATTTGCATATTGTGCTGATTAGCCAATGGGAGGCGTAGAGAAGTTACATTCAATTACCATGTTTGTCTATTATTAGATAGGACTAGAAGCCCAGTGCACAAAATTCGTGCAAGAGAAGGCCTTCCTTCCCCTGGTTGCTGGCAGTGGCTTCCCTCTGGCACCTGGGACGCAGGCTTCCCTCACAGTCCCAGCTTCGTCCAGAAGGACATCTGGTCTAATTTGCATATTATGCTTTTATTATATAGATGATAGCCTAAAACAGTGCATACAGTCAGCCTTCCAAATCCACAGATTCACAAACTTGTATCAAAAATACTATTTTGGCCCTGGCCAGGTGGCTCAATTGGTTAGAGTGTCTTCCCGATATGCCAAGGTTGCGGGGTTCAATCCCTGCTCAGGGCACATACAAGATTCCACCAATGAATGCATAAATAAGTGGAACAACAAATTGATGTCTCTCTCTCTCTCTCTCTCTCTCTCTAAAAGCAATAAATAAAATTGTTTTTAAATACTGTTTACTGTCCTGGCCAGGTGGCTCAGTCGGTTGAAGTGTCGTCCTGTACACCAAAATGTTGCAGGTTCACTTCCCAGTCAGGACACATGCCTAAGTTTCAGGTTTGATCTTTGGTTGCAGCAGGTACAGTATGCAACTGATCAAAGTCTCTCTCTCTAAAATCAAAAACATATCCTTAGGTGAGGAGTTTTTAAAATGCTGTTTTCTATCTACATGTAAGTGGACCCGAGCAGTTCAGATCGAGTCTTTCAAGGGATGGCAGTAGAGTCCATGCATGGAGGGGTTCGCATGTGCCTGGAGCAGGTATTCATCAGGAATCCACATCTCATGGGGTTTCTGCAGCTGCATTGAGACCCCTTCAAATTTCAAGATGTGTCTGGGAAGTTTTTAAAAATATATTGCAAACCTAAAACAACTATTTCAGGAAAAAATATCGCATTGCCTCAATGCATTTATTTATTTTTTATTTTTTTAATAGTCACTGGATGTGGATTCTTATTTTCCTTGCAAGATCAAAAGGTTCTTTAAAATTCTTCAGCCACCAATGAAATGATCAGACAGGAGAAAAACTTGACACAGGAATCTTGTCATCAAAAATAAATACAGTTGCGTGAGGTGCTCAAGATCTGACCAAACGAAAAATGGGAAGGCAGGTTACCAACCCTCCCACCATGGACTGTCCCTGGGCTGAGGGAGGTGGTCAGGAGGCCTGGCCATGCCTTCTCAGTGCGGGAAGCCCGGTGGTCGGGTCAGATTTGCTTCTGGTTGTATGCAGCACCCCACGATGACAGGAGCGGAGTCGAGGGCAGGGCGGGACCTACTGCTGCAGCTCCTTCATCCTGTTGAGGGCCCTGCCCGCGCAGAACCACTCGATCTGGCTCTTGTTGAAGGCGTGGTTCAGGAGGGGGTCTCCTGGGAGCCGTTGGGGTGCTTGATGATGCACGTCAGGGGCTTGCCAGGGGCAAAGTCCTTCAGGCCCTGGATGGTCAGCTTGTCCACGGGGTGAATCTTGTTGTAGTCGGCTGGGTCAGCAAAGGTGAGGGGCAGCAGGCCCCGCCTCTTCAGGTTGGTTTTGTGGATCTTGGCGAAGCTCTTGGTGATGATGGCCGACCCCCAAGGTGGTGGGGCTCCAGCGCCGCATGCTCCCGGCTTGAGCCCTCGCCATAGTTCTCATCTCCAATCACCACACCAGATGCCATGTTTCTTATAGTAGCAGGCAGTGTCAGGAACAGGACCAAATTCCTGGGTGACAGCATTGCACACAGAGTTGGCCTTGCCATTTTCAATGAGCAAGTTGTTGGAGATGTTGTCCAGGTGCCCACAGAACCTGAGCCAGGGGCCGGCAGCTGCGATGTAGTCAGTGGTACACTTCCCTTTGACCTTGGTAAGGATTTGAAGGTCCTCCAGGTCTTTGCCATCCCATTTGTCAAAAGACTCAAGGAGCTGCAGACGCTGGCTGGTGGGGCTCACGTCCACCCGCTGCCCACTGCCACCCTTGGGAGGGTGCTGTAGGTGTCCTGCCCAGGGTTGAAATTCATGTGGGGAAGCTTATCTGTATCCGGAGCCTCCAGCTTGAACTTCTTGCCATCCTTGCCTGTCAGGAAGTCAGTCTTGGGGTTGAACTTGAGGGTGCCAGCAATGCCCGGGGCTGTGACAATCTCTGGGGATGTGACGGAGGCATGGGTCTCAGGGTTCGTGTCCTTGCGACCTGTGAAGTTCCTGTTGTAGGGGGTG